CCTAGCGTCAGTTAGCCTACTTGTCATACTATACTGTCCTCGCGTCAGTTAGCAGACTTGTCATACAATACTGTCCTAGCGTCAGTTAGCCGACTTATCATACAATACTGTCCTCGTGTCAGTTAGCCGACTTGTCATACAATACTGTCCTCGCGTCAGTTAGCCGACTTGTCATACAATACTGTCCTAGCGTCAGTTAGCCGACTTGTCATACAATACTGTCCTAGCGTCAGTTAGCCGACTTGTCATACAATACTGTCCTCGCGTCAGTTAGCCGACTTGTCATTCAATACTGTCCTCGCGTCAGTTAGCCGACTTATCATTCAATACTGTCCTAGCGTCAGTTAGCCGACTTGTCATTCAATACTGTCCTAGCGTAGGTTAGCCGACTTGTCACTCAATACTGTCCTAGCGTCAGTTAGCCTACTTGTCATACAATACTGTCCTCGCGTCAGTTAGCAGACTTGGCATACAATACTGTCCTAGCGTCAGTTTGCCGACTTGGCATACAATACTGTCCTAGCGTAGGTTAGCCGACTTGTCATACATTATCGTGGCAGCAGTTACACAACCTGTCTTCAAATATTGTGGCTGCAGTTACACAACCTGTCTTCAAACATTGTCGTGGCAGCAGTTACACAACCTGTCTTCAAACATTGTCGTGGCAGCAGTTGCACAACCTGTCTTCAAATATTGTGGCAGCAGTTACACAACCTGTTTTCAAAGATTTTCTCCCGTATTCTTTAAACCCAACCGCTGCCGCTTCTTGATTTCTGTACAGATGATTTCTCCCAAATCCATCATCCTAACATTCTCTCTCTCTCTCTCTCTCTCTCTCTCTCTCTCTCTCTCTCTCTCTCTCTCTCTCTCTCTCTCTCTCTCTCTCTAGATGTTTCTCTCACACATTCTCTTTCATATTATCGTTTTTTAAATCTTTCTTATTTTCTCTCATTTTCTCTTCTTTTTCTCTCTGACGTTCTCACTCCTATGTATTTCTTTAGTCTCTCTCTCTCTCTCTCTCTCTCTCTCTCTCTCTCTCTCTCTCTCTCTCTGTCTCTCTCTCTCTCTCTCTCCATACCTCTCTTGTGCTCACCACAAGACCAAGGCTTACTATTTATTTGTCTAAACAAAAGACTGGGGAACGCCGTTATCACCCCTCCCCCTCCCCAAATCTTTCTCAGATGATTCCTGGGATAGAACAAGTTAGTTTCAGTTGTTGGTCCCAGGATACAGCACAGCCAGCCATAGAACATAACAATCAATATATTTGATGTCAGCACTTGGGGTCTTAGTAGACTCGAGTTTGGTTAAATTATGGTTTCTGGCAACTTGTCAGGGGCGTCACCTAGATACTGTTGTATGTTCATGGCATCTTGTCAGGGGCGTCATCTAAAGACTGTTGTATGTTCCCACCAACTTGTCAGGGGCGTCATCTAGAGACTGTTGTATGTATGTTGGCCATTGATCTAGTCTTGTTTGTGTACTTTACAAACTGATCTTCAGTCAGTCAGTCTTGTCTGTGTACGTTTAACCACTGATCTACAGTCAGTCAGTCTTGTCTGTGTACGTTTAACCACTGATCTTCAGTCAGTCAGTCTTGTCTGTGTACGTTTAACCACTGATCTACAGTCAGTCAGTCTTGTCTGTTTTGTTTAACCACCGGTCTATAGTCTGTCTTGTCTGTGTACGTTTAACCACTGATCTACAGTCAGTCAGTCTTGTATGTGTACGTTTAACCACCGGTCTATAGTCAGTCATGCCTTTGTACGTATAACCACTGATCTACAGTCAGCCAGTCTTGTCTGTGTACGTTTAACCACGGGGCTACAATCGAGCAGTCGTATCTGCGTACGTTTAACCACTGGTCTACAGTCAGTCTTTTCTATGTACGTTTAACCACTGATATACAGCTGAGCTGCCTTGCCAGTGTACGTTTAACCACTGGTCTACAACTGAGAAGTCTTGTCTGTGTACGTTTAACCACTGGTCTACAGCTAAGCTGTCTTATCAGTGTACGTTTAACCACTGGTCTACAGCTGAGCTGTCTTGTTTGTGTACGTTTAACTACTGGTCTACAGCTGACCTGTCTTGTTTGTATATGTTTAACCACTGGTCTACATTCAGTCTTTCTTGTGTACGTTTAAAAACTGTTCTACAACTGAGCTGTCTTGTCTGTGTACGTTTAACCACTGGTCTACAGCTGACCTGTCTTGTCTGTATATGTTTAACCACTGGTCTACATTCAGTCTTTCTTGTGTACGTTTAAAAACTGTTCTACAGCTGAGCTGTCTTGTCTGTGTACGGTTAACCACTGGTCTACAGCCGAGCTGTCTTGTCTGTGTACATGTAACCCCTGTCTACAGCTGAGTTGTCTTGTCTGTGTATGTATAACAACTCGTCTACAGCCGAGCTGTCTTGTCTACGTGCATTTAACTACTAGTCTACAGCCAAGCTGTCTTGTCTGTGTACGTTTAACCACTGGTCTACAGCCGAGCTGTCTTATCTGTGTACGTTGGTCAATAGCCGAGCACTCTTATCTCTGTACTTTTAACCATGTGTGTACAGTCGAGCAACATGGGAGTTCTAAATCCTCTGTTAGCCGATAGCATGACCACAAACCGAGTGGGACTTTATTTCTTATTTCAAATGGCATCCAACTGTAACACGTGAACAAACAATAGATTGTACCAATAGCAACGCTCATAGCTCTATCCCTACGTTGTCAAGTAGTAACACACGAAATGTAGATTGTACCAATAGCAACGCTCATAGCTCTATTCCTACGTTGTCAAGTAGTAACACACGAACTGTAGATTGTACCAATAGCGACGCTCATAGCTCTATCTTACACTGTCAAGTAGTAACACACGAACTGTAGATTGTACCAATAGCAACACTCATAGCTGTATTCTCACATTGTTAAGTAGTAACATATGAAGGGTAGTTGTGATGAGGGCGTTAAGCCCGACGGTACTACAACAGAAAACGCTGTCACCGCTCTAAGAAAAACTTTAAAGTTAGGAACATAGAATATTAGGAGCATGTATCAGGGAACTTAGCATCGTTAGCAGAGAACTTAAAGAAATAAAATAGATAAACTAGGAATTTCTGAACATAGATAGGCAGGTCAATAACTTTTTTATGACTCAAACAGGAGAAACATTTGAAAAAACAAACAAACGCACACACAGTTTTTGGATGTCGCGTGTTTATCAGATTGGTTTGATTTATTCAAAGGATCAACATCAAGGCACAATGCTAGTAACCCATACAAGATCCCTTCTACGTTTAACTAAAGACTGCGTCCGAAGGGTCTCAGCGCAGTGCACCTACTCCGTAACACCGGCAAGGATCCTGAAATACTTTGGGTACATTTTTTACTGAAACATTTTCCCGTAAGGCCACTCTTGATTCACAACTGCCGTGGGATGTTTTTTAAAACGTGCGCAACAGTACACACGGGCGTCCGATCTTACTAACCAGAACAAGGGGAAATTACTAGAAGTTCACGTGAAAAAATTCCAGCCTAAACTGGGACCTGAACTCGAGACGTCCAGCACTCGAGGCGGACGCCATGCATCGAGACCACTCAGCACCTGCGTTCACAGGAAAGCCCGTAAAACTGTAAACTAGGGATGACCCAGATACACAAAAAAAAAAAAAATAAATACAATTAGTTGATTGGTTGAACCCAAAGGTCTTGTTGTGTGCAAATTAAGCAGTTTCATTAGCTACATTCAACGTTGTTCAGTGTCTCACAATTATTGGCTACATTCAACGTTGTTCAGTGTCTCACAATTATTGGCTACATTCAACGTTGTTCAGTGTCTCACAACTATTGGCTACATTCAACGTTGTTCAGTGTCTCACAATTATTGGCTACATTCAACGTTGTTCAGTGTCTCACAATTATTGGCTACATTCAACGTTGTTCAGTGTCTCACAATTATTGGCTACATTCAACGTTGTTCAGTGTCTCACAATTATTGGCTACATTCAACGTTGTTCAGTGTCTCACAATTATTAGCTACATTCAACGTTGTTCAGTGTCTCACAATTATTAGCTACATTCAACGTTGTTCAGTGTCTCACAATTATTAGCTACATTCAACGTTGTTCAGTGTCTCACAATATTGGCTACATTCAAACGTTGTTCAGTGTCTCACAATTATTAGCTACATTCAACGTTGTTCAGTGTCTCACAATTATTGGCTACATTCAACGTTGTTCAGTGTCTCACAATTATTGGCTACATTCAACGTTGTTCAGTGTCTCACAATTATTGGCTACATTCAACGTTGTTCAGTGTCTCACAATTATTGGCTACATTCAACGTTGTTCAGTGTCTCACAATTATTAGCTACATTCAACGTTGTTCAGTGTCTCACAATTATTGGCTACATTCAACGTTGTTCAGTGTCTCCCAATTATTGGCTACATTTTGTTCCTTTCAGAAGCTGTTCGTTTCTTTATGTAATACACGCATTTAGTGAGTTATTCGGGAAATAACAGCTAGCATCTGACCTTCAACAGAGAAGCCAACAAGTTAGTCAAACAACTGCCTATCATTTCTGTATGAGGGCCTGCCTCTGGTCTTGTCCGGGGTTTTTACTTTCAGGAAAACACATATCATAAACATGGCCGATGACCAGAGCTTCTGCTGACAGAGAGATGCTCCATGATTGACTACCATTTCACACACATGCCCTGGCGTACACTTCACTGTCATGGACCTAAACTTCACCGTCATGGACCTAAACTTCACTGTCATGGACCAAAACTTCACCGTCATGGACCTAAACTTCACTGTCATGGACCTAAACTTTACTGTCATGGACCAAAACTTTACCGTCATGGACCTAAACTTCACTGTCATGGACCTAAACTTCACTGTCATGGAACTAAACTCCATCGTCATGGACCTAAACTTCACTGTCATAGACCTAAATTTCATCGTCATGGACCTAAACTTTACCGTCATGGACCTAAATTTTACTGTCATGGACCTAAACTTTACCGTCATGGACCTAAACTTTACCGTCATGGACCTTAACTTTACCGTCATGGACCTTAACTTTACCGTCATGGACCTAAACTTTACCGTCATGGACCTAAACTTTACCGTCATGGACCTATACTTTACTGTCATGGACCTAAACTTCACTGTCATGGACCTAAACTTTACCGTCATGGACCAAAACTTTACCGTCATGGACCTAAACTTTACCGTCATGGACCTAAACTTTACCGTCATGGACCTAAACTTTACCGTCATGGACGTACATTTCACTGTCATGGACCTAAACTTCACTGTCATGGAACTAAACTCCATCGTCATGGACCTAAACTTCACTGTCATAGACCTAAACTTCATTTTCATGGACCTAAACTTTACCGTCATGGACCTAAACTTTACTGTCATGGACCTAAACTTTACCGTCATGGACCTAAAATTTCAGTTCCAGTTTACAGAGTTCATTTTGTCACGTTCTGTCATTGTCATACTCTGCAAGACTGGTCCTCTATGTCACAACACCGATTGTGCCCAGTTGTGCTGATTGTTTGTCCACATTCACACGCATCAGCGAATGCTCAAGGCAAAGTTGCAATTCTGCCTCTGAGTAGTTTTTCATTGCGGTATTTCAAAAAAAAAAAAAAAATGGCACCTTTACAACTGAAGGTGGCCGTAATGTGTCCACCGATGAGAACATTGCGTGATGTGGCTAAAAGTCGTCTTTTAAATACGGTACTCTAATTATCTTGTTCTTAACACCAATGGCAGGAAGAAAACGCTTGTAAAGGTCGAGGACTGCATTGTCAAACGGTTTAACTAACGTCCAAATCTCGAGCTGCAATTTGTGAGCACGGCAGACATCTGATTGAGGAGGATGACTGAACTGACTACCTGTCTAGAGTATCTTTATTGGTACGAGAAGTATATTCACAAGAGGCTAGGGTCAAGTACGTCGAACCGGCTTTCCTAGACTCTCGATTTAAATTGCTCTGACGATTTACCCTCAGAATTGATTATGTCTGTACTTTTGTATGCAACTGCTCAAAGATGCGCTGGAGAGTTGGTGGGCAGCCAGAACAGCTACATTTCGTGAGCGTCTTGAGAAAACCTGACTCGAGAATAACTAAATCAGTAGCTTTGATAAGATCATTGAAAGCATTATGTACAGTGTTTTGATTTTGCTTTTGTAGTTGTGATAATGAGAGTTTCGTATATGTAACTCTACGTGCGGGTTCCGGGGCCCGGTTATAGGGAAAACAAGAATAGACCTACTGACTACCCAAAAGCATGTCGTAAGAGTCGACTAACTGGGAGCTTCCTACAAAGTCGGAGTGCATTTGCCTGATAAGCAAGGAACCAGCAGTCTGCATACAAATGATGCACACGCAACACTCAGGTTCTGGAACAGGACTGCAGTCCAGAAGTAGATGAACAACCAGAACTTTCCGCCAGAGTTTACAGCTGGTGAACGCCAAGAAGAAGACGATATCTGTGACAACCATACTGCAACACAGATAAGATCTCATTTGCTAGCATTCTGAGTCTGCACAGAATCATTGTGTGAAATATTTTCTCAACAGAGCGCAGACGTGCGGCGTCTGTGGCTTAGGCGTTGCCAGTCCGACTCGTAATTCCAACGTACCCAGCCTAATATGGGTACCAGGACGGCAGTCCTGGAAAAGTAAAGACGGCTGACAAGATTACCCACCTAGTGCCGATTGGTCTGTAAAAATATGGGATGCTCTTCCCATATGCTCGATGCGCCTAAGGCATAAGAAGGGATATTTACTTCACTGACGCAGACGTGATTCACATGTAACCTGTGTACAACAATACTCAATTTTATCTAGCGATGTCCGACACAGCTTCAGAACTTTTAACAAAAGGAAATGAATGTTCTAGACGCGCAGAGAAACAGCAGCTGTCCACACAAGTGGCGGGAATACAAGAGAACCCGATGGGTATCCTCTAACAGACGACAATCAGCAGCACTTAGAACTGATCAAAAGCACCACAGACCAGAAACTGGGTATGGCATGATTCTTGCTTTAAAGGTGGCTGCTAAATGATGGCTACAAATTGTGTGCTATCTCTGTCTCTCCTCCCCTTCCTCTCTTTTCCCACCCCTCCGCCCTCACTCCACTAGTTGAGAGTAAATCTAACATATGAATAAGTACCCGAACACATGGAGTATCCACACACGCAGCGACATACAGAATGTCAGCTCTCCAGATCCCGGGGCAACCAGAGATTTTATGAGCACGAGAACTCTGGAGTACTGGGCCAAGGATCAGGTCTACATCAGCAAATACAGTCAATGTCTACCCTTGTGGGATCAATCCCGCTCTGCACGGGGTGGGCAAGATCCATCAGACGTAGCTCACAAACAGCGTAGTAATACATCAACGTATATTCCAATACACAGTCCTGTAATAAAAACAAAATTATTTTAACTTTCCCCATATTTTACTGACATAAAAAACACTGTTAAATAACTTTCCACATATCTACTGATATAAAATACTGTAATATAACACTCCACACACTTACTGATTATAAAAATACTGTAATATAACACTCCCCACACTTACTGATAAAAAATACTGTAATATAACACTCCACACACTTACTGAAATAAAATACTGTAATATAACACTCACCCACACTTACTGATATAAAATACTGTAATATAAACACACAGATCCCCAAACTTACTGATATAAAATACTGTAATATAACACTCCACACACTTACTGATATAAAATACTGTAATATAACACTCTACACACTTACTGATATAAAATACTGTAATATAACACTCCCCATACTTACTGATATAAAATACTGTAATATAACACTCCCCACACTTACTGATATAAAATACAGTAATATAACACTCTCCCCACTTACTGAAATAAAATACTGTAATATAAACACTCCCCACACTTACTGATATAAATACTGTTATATATCTTTCCCCACACTTACTGACATAAAACACTGGTTATACATCTTTCCCACATTTACTGACATACAACACTATTATATATCTTTCCCCACATTTACTGACATAAAACACTGTTATATATCTTTCCCTACATTTACTGACATAAAACTGTTATATATCTTTCCCCACACTTACTGACACATAACACTGTTATATATCTTTCCCCATATTTACTGACATAAAACACTGTTATATATCTTTCCCCACACTTACTGACATAAAACACTGTTATATATCTTTCCCCACATTTACTGACATAAAACACTGTTATATATCTTTCCCCACACTTACTGACATAAAACACTGTTACATATCTTTCCCCACACTTACTGACATAAAACACTGTTATATATCTTTCTCCACACTTACTGACATAAAACACTGTTATATATCTTTCCCCACACTTACTGACATAAAACACTGTAATATACTTTGTATACTTTAAATAAGCCAACCTATGGTGCTGGTGCCTTGTCGTGGTGGGATGGCTTGTGTACTCTCAGAACTATGCCGGCAGGGGACTTGTCAGACTTAAGAGTCAGACTCAAGAGTCAGACTCAAGAGTCAGACTAAACTAGCACCCTGGTCCAAGCCAATGGGTGACAACCATTACCGTAAACAAAATAAAAATAAACTTTGTTTACGGAAAGCGGAAACTAGTGAAATCATTGAATGGGTGGAAAGATTGGCTCATAACAGCATCCTGTCTCGGAAGCTGACATAGTTTTTGGTCATATCAGGCGCCAAGACGGATTGGAAAAACATTATAGCAGAAGGCATGGTACCAGGAAAGAGGGGCAGGGCCGACCGACACGAAGATTTGCACAGGATATAAATGATTCCTTGAGTGTGAAAGTACATGAGGCGGGAGAACTGGCGAGAGACCGAGTTTCTTTCAGGCAGACTGTGATGAGAGCGACGTTCTGCAAAGGACCTGCTACATGATGATGGTGGAAAAAGTGAAGCTTGCCAGATATTTGGTGAAATAATGGCTGGGGATCAAAGCCGAAAGGAAGACAACAGCTTGACAGTGAATCTTCTTTCTTCCAAAACACCTTTAGTGAAAGTGAGAACATTGTATCAAACTGGAAAAGTGGAACAAACGTTCTTTCATTAAATGCACCTACACAATGTACATATTTTAGGAATTACAAAAGTACATTGCACAAGGACAGGAGAAAGACACCTCATACAGATGACAGCATAATCTGGTCAGGTAGAGTTGATG